TCATCTTATTATCGCTGCAGCCTTAATTTTCTTCCCATTGAAGCTTATACATTTTATTTTTTTATTCTATTTTATTTTTTTAAATTTATTTATTTATTAAGGATTTCTGCCTCCTCCCCGCCACCGCCTCCCATTTCCCTCCCAAGCTTATACATTTTAGTTTTCTCTCTATTTCTGTGTATTTCAGGAATTTGTTGCTGCTGTGGATATGACTCTTTCTGCTATTCTGCTATTTCCCCCTCACACTGCATCTCCCTGGGTGTGCGCATGCTTCTGCCTTTAGATCTTCTAGAATTATATCAGAGGTCAGGCCACAAAGAGGGAGGGGAGAGCCTTACTGATTAGGAAAAGGGAAGGTTCTGGAAAGACTCTGAGAGAAGCCTTCCCTTTGGGCAGGGTCTCACGCAGGCAAGGTGAGCTGTGTAGTGGGAAGGGAACAGGCAGAGGCTATGTGGTGAGGTCCAGGGGCTGGGAATGATCCTGTTTCTTGGGAGATGGGAACAGCGGTTTGAGTTGGATCACCTTCTCTGTGAGACTGAACCGTGATCCAAGATAACTACTACACCCAGGACTAAATTGTCCGATTACACTGGTGTGCATTAAAAATAAAATAACCTTTACCATGAGGACTCCTTTTATTCTCTTGCTGTGATAAAACTCTGACTAAGAGCAACTGAGGGAAGAAAAGATTTTATTCAGCATCCAAAAAAATAGTCTGCCATTGAAGGAAATCGTGGAAAGAGCCTGGACAGGAATGTGCAGCAGAAACCATGGACGGATGCTGATTGATGGCTTCCTCTCAGGCTCATGCCTCATGCTCAGCTAGTTTTCTCATACAGCCCAGGACCACTGCCTAGGGAATGGTGCTGCCCACAGTGGCTTTCCTGCAGCAATGAGCAATCAACACAGTCTCCCACAGACATGCCACAGGCAATCTGATCTGAGCAGTCTGTAAGTTGAGACTCCCTTCCTGGAGCCTCTGGGCTGTGTCAAGTTGGCAGTTAAAGCTAACGAGGATACTAGATAATTGCAAACTGTTTCCAGAAACATGCAATGTTTTAAATCAAATATGGGGCTCTAGCAAATACTTAATACACACTAGGCCAGTATCATGTGGTTACTCTTCTTAGCTAACACATTGACAGGAGACATCAATATAACAAAAATATTTTATACATTTGGAAATTTGACAACAGATTAAAAAAATCATTGATAAACTTATGTAAGAACAAAGTCTATGACATTAAACTAAAAAGTAATAATGCCCAACTGTAGTGTATAAATTTGAAAAGTAAGGCATTGTCTTCTTTCTCTTTACTGTGTATTTTTTAATTTTTTAAAATTGCTTCTTATGTGTACAGGTGTTTTGCCTGCATGCATGTCTATTTACATGTGTGTGCCTGGTTCCTGTAGAAACCAGAAGAAAGCAGCAAATCTGGAACTGGAGTTACAGAGAGCTGTGAGGTGCCATGGGTGCTGGGAATTGAACCTGGGTCCTCTAGAAGAGCAGCCAGTGTTCCTAAGTGGAGAGCCATCCCTCCAGCCTCGAGGGAAAAGGGTTTTGATGTTTATGGTGGCTCACTAGGAAGTGAGAATCTCAGAGTCCATTATTTTCATTCATCCACGTTTTCTCGGTTCCAATATGGATTTTTTTGATGTTCTTTTATTTTCATTGGTGTGTGATTACTGTGCAAAACTTTGGTGTGCTTCTGTACAGCCTTTGCCTTACATATTACAGGTGTGCACCACCATGCCTGGATGAAAACCTTTTTTGAGACAGACATGCAGGGCAGCCTCTGAAAGTCAGTTCTCTGGACTGTGGTTTCTGGGGATTGAACGCAAGGTCATCAGACTTGCCTGCCAAGCCACCTTACCTGCACAACTACTGTTTTTGTTTGTTTTGTTTTATATTTCAAGACAGGTTCTCTGTTGTTATCTTCACTCTTTTACTCTTTGGGGGCCCTCCACGCAGTTCCCAAATAAACCATACATGGAAGCTTATTCTTTTTTTTTTAAATATTTATTTATTTATTATGTATACAATATTCTGTCTGTGTGTATGTCTGCAGGCCAGAAGAGGGCACCAGACCTCATTACAGATGGTTGTGAGCCACCATGTGGTTGCTGGGAATTGAACTCAGAACCTTTGGAAGAGCAGGCAATGCTCTTAACCACTGAGCCATCTCTCCAGCCCTGGAAGCTTATTATTAGTTATGAATGCCTGGCCTTAGTTAGGTTGGCCTGTTTCTTGCTAGCTTTTCTTAACTTAAATTATTCTTGGCTTCTTTGCCTCTGAGCTTTTTCCTTTTCTTCTGTGTATCTTACTTTTACTCTGTTTCTGGCTGGGTGGCTGACCCCTGACGTCCTCCTCTCCTTGCTTTTTTGCTCCTTTTTTTCCTCGTTTCTCCTTCTATTTAACCTCTCTGCCTGCCAGCCCTGCCTATCCTTTCTCCTGCCTCGCTATTGGCCAGTCATCTCTTTATTAGACCATCAGGTGTTTTAGACAGGTGCGGTAACACAGCCTCACACAGTTAAACAAATGGAGCATAAACAAAAGCAACACGTCCTTACATCCTTGAACAAGTGTTCCCCAGCATAAACAAGTCACACACCTTAAAATAATGTTCTACAACAAGCCTTGAAACTTCCTATTTAGTCAAGGATGACCTTGAACTCTCGATTCTTCTTTCTTCACCTCCTGGAATGCTGGAGGTGTGTGTGTGTGTGTGTGTGTGTGTGTGTGTGTGTGTGTGTGTGAGAGAGAGAGAGAGAGAGAGAGAGAGAGAGAGAGAGAGAGAGAGAGAGAGCGCCCACCAGGGGTGCTGTGAAGATGCAGTGGTTAAGAGGATTTCCTGAGAAGCCCTTTGAGATGGAGTTCAGAGGCCAGCACCCTCCATGAATGACTCATAAACACCAGGAACTCCAGCTCCAGAGAGAGAGAGAGAGAGAGAGTTAGTTTGAACGTGCTGAGAGCTGGGATGTTCACCACCCGTGCACATTTGTCAACTCTTGATGAAGTCATCTGAGCTCCCATGTGCTGTGTTAGCACTATAAGTGTTTGTGTCTCTGTGCTATTAGTACTGTTAGTGCTTGTGTCTCTGTGCTATTAGTACTGTTAGTGCTTGTGTCTCTGTGCTATTAGTACTGTTAGTGCTTGTGTCTCTGTGCTATTAGTACTGTTAGTGCTTGTGTCTCTGTGCTATTAGTACTGTTAGTGTTTGTGTCTCTGTGCTATTAGTACTGTTAGTGCTTGTGTCTCTGTGCTATTAGTACTGTTAGTGCTTGTGTCTCTGTGCTATTAGTACTGTTAGTGCTTGTGTCTCTGTGCTATTAGTACTGTTAGTGCTTGTGTCTCTGTGCTATTAGTACTGTTAGTGTTTGTGTCTCTGTGCTATTAGTACTGTTAGTGCTTGTGTCTCTGTGCTATTAGTACTGTTAGTGTTTGTGTCTCTGTGCTATTAGTACTGTTAGTGTTTGTGTCTCCCAGCTATTAGCACTATTAGTGTTTGTGTCTCCCAGCTATTAACACTATTAATTTGTGTCTTAGTACTGTGTCTGTCTCCTTCCTTCAAGGAAGGGTTTCAGCCCTGCGAATTCCACATGTAGCCATGCTCTGCTTCCTCACACTGCAGGTCAGTTTCACTTATTTGGGGACCTCATCTAAAGAGAGAGCTGGCATTTTCTTTGTATGTCTGGTTTCTTTTGCTCAGCACTTTGCTTTGAGAGTCAAATCTCTATGTAGCCCTGGCTGTCCTGGAACTCACTCTGTAGACCAGGCTGGCCTTGAACTCACAATTCTTGAGTGCTGGGCTGAAAGGCCTGTGCCACCACCGCCCAGCAGGAAAGTCTTTCATTGTTGTATTTGTTAATTGTATGAAGGACTGAAGAGATGGCTCAGTGCTTGCTTTATAAGCGTGAAGATCTGAATTCATCCCCCAGAACATAGATTTAAAAAACCATGGTATGGTGGGGCATGCTTGTAACTCCAGTGCTGGGGGAGTCAGCGGCAGGCTGATCTCTGGGGCTCACTGGCAGCTCGTCTAGCCTGCTTCATGAGTTCCAGACTAGAAAGAAACTCCGTTTGAAAAATAAGAAAGAAAATTAATTAATTAAATAAAATAGAAAGTAAAGAATGGCTCTTGAGGACCAAACCTGATGTCTCTAGTCCCCCACATGCTTGTGTGCAAGTACCCACATACGCCTGATGTCTCTAGTCCTCCACATGCTTGTGTGCAAGTACCCACATACGCCTGATGTCTCTAGTCCTCCACATGCTTGTGTGCAAGTACCCACATACGCCTGATGTCTCTAGTCCTCCACATGCTTGTGTGCAAGTACCCACATACGCCTGATGTCTCTAGTCCTCCACATGCTTGTGTGCAAGTGCCCACATACACGTGTACATCACCACGATGTGCACATGCGCGCGCACACACACACATGCGCACACACAAACATTGATTATGGTTTTAACCCTATGATTAATGTTTTAACAACAAACCCATTTTGCTTGTTGGAGGAAAGACCTGTTGTAAATCTAGACTCTGGTCCCCAGGATCCACATACAGGCTGGGTGAGCAGGTTTGGCAGCCTGCCTCTAGTTCCAGCACCAGGAGGTAGAGACAGGAGAGCCTTGGAGCAAACTAGCTAGGCGACTTAGTATAACCAGTGGGCGTTGGTTTCAGTGAGAGACCTGCCTTAATATATAAGGTGGAGTCAGATTGAGGACACCTGATGTTAGCTTCTGACTTCTACATGCGTGTGCTCACGAATGCACATACGCCTGCACACACAGTATGGCCCAACACACATATGAAACAGCAGCACATGCACACATCACACACACACACACACACACACACACACACACACACACACCCCTTCACCTGAGTTCTGCATATTTGTTCCACAAAGCTGTGTCCAGCGTGGACTTGAAGCAAAAGCGCCCTCCCTGATCGGCTGTTTTGTGTCTCCCCCTTCCCCACATCGATGGTTTCCAGTGAGATGAGTCAGAAAATGGCCAAGGAGGGCCCCAGGCTCTCCAAGAATCAGAAGTTCTCGGAGCACTTCAGCATCCACTGTTGCCCACCCTTCACCTTCCTCAACTCCAAGCGCGAGATCGTGGACCGCAAGTATAGCATCTGCAAGAGCGGCTGCTTCTACCAGAAGAAGGAGGAAGATTGGATCTGCTGCGCTTGCCAGAAGACCAGGTGAGCGTGGGCTCTGGGCCAGGTCTGAGCCACATTCCCCTGCTCCGTGACTGTCAGCTCTCTTAGGAAGGCGCTGGAGGGCAAGCAGAAGGCGGGTGGGAGGGCAAGGCTTTCCTGCTGTTTCTAGCTCCTGCCAGCATCCCTTAAGCAAGGTGCAGAGCCCAGGCCGGCCGCAGCCTCCAGCTTCTTTTGGCCCTCTCTGCACCAGCCGCCGTGCCAGGTCCCCCCAGAAGCCCAAGCTCCAGCCAGCTGCGTCCCCCGTGGTGGTCAGAGCGCCGCCAGCCAAGCCAAAGTCCCCTCCGAGGCCAGCCAAGCCAAGGTCCCCTTCGAGGACTGAGCGCCAGCCGCGACCCCGCCCAGAGGTCCGACCACCACCAGTCAAGCAGAAGCCCCCTCAGAAGTCCAAGCCACCAGCACGCAGCAGCCCCCTCAGAGGGCCAGGCACCAGCCGTGGGGGGTCTCCCACCAGAGCTCCTAGGTTCTGGTAACACCATCTCTTGCCTTTTGTCTCCCCCCTAGCCTGAGGTCAGTAGCTGCTCTCCGCGTGTACTAACCTGGGGGACCTCTCCACAGTACCAAGCCTGTGTAATCCACTCCCTCCATTAAACCCCCTCTTGTTTGAAACACCTGGCGTGGCTTCTGTTTTTCCTCCCAGATGTTCTCGGTCCTCACTTCAGATGGCTGTGTCTGTGCCATCCCGCAGGACTGCAGGTCACTAATTTACCAGCGCATAGTATTTGTTGACCACAGTAAGCAGGCGGGGAATACGGAGTAGATCCGTGCTGCTGCTTTGTGCCTCAGAGAGAAGGAGAGGAGACTCTGTACCTGGGCATGTGTGGAAGGAGCGAGCCCAGTGCTCCGTTTGCTCACCCTCCTGACACACGTCATCATATATTAGCCCCCGAAGCAATGACACGCCTTTGTTTGCTCAGTCTGTCACTCAGCAAACCGTACTGGCATCTATAAAGTTTGATATGCTGTACTGGGGAGAGGAATATAACCTGTGATTTCTTTGTATCAAGGAAGACACCATCTGGTCACGGTGCAAACATTGCAATACTGCCTTACTCAGGAGGTCTGTGGCCTGTGGGAGCCCCAAACAAAACCGTCCCAGCTCTGCCATGGGAACCTGAGGCTTCACAGAAAGTTAGGTTGGAGTGGGCAAATTGGAGAAGGACGGCCAGGGAGGCTCTGTCCTGCTCTACCTCAGAAGGACCCGTTTTTCCTTCTCTGAATCTCAGAGGTCCTAAGGCAGCGCAGTAGAATGGGTATTCAACCACTGCATCGTTTCCTTTATTGATCTGATTGGCTATCTCAAATCAGAGGCGCTAATTAATGGGAACAACTTACACTCAATCAGTGCAGCGAGGCCAGACCTTTTAAAAAGGCTTAAAAGGAGATTTTCTGAAGCTGACATGCTTTCAGAGATGATGCTGATCCTGAGGTATTGTGTGGAGGGGTCAAACAATTTGGACAAAGACCTTTTTAGATCTATGATAAGACTTTTGAATAGCTCTTCTCCAGAAAGCAGAGAATAATCTGATTTTAGAAAAGAGTGGCTTGGTTTCCGGCATCGCAGTGGAAGGTAGGAGCATCTCTTTCCTGACAGGCGGTGGTTCTGGCACATCCCTCCAGTTTATTCTTTTCCATGTCTTTAAGATTTGGGACTTAATCTGAAGGTCCCAAGATTACAGAGCCGCCACTGTAAGACACTGATACTCTATGAGATTAGATCCACAGCCCAGGGAAATCAGGCCACACAATAAAAAGTATCTTTTTATACCTTCAGTTTCCTCTGTCCATTAATAACAGTAAAAAAATAAGATAATTTATTTTTGTACCTTGATTTATGTATTGTGATTTCACTTATTTTAGCTTTTTCTAGTAGAGCCTGGATTTTATACATCATAATCATGTCTTTCAGTAGAGACAGCTGTGAATTTTCTATTTCAATCTGGATACTTAAGTGTGTATGTTTTGAACTTCTATCTACACTGAAAACATATTTTGAAATATGGCTTAGTGTCTTCAAGGTTTTTTGTCAAGCTAGAGAATGGCCCCAGACGTGCTTTGGGATACTAACAGACATCCTAATCCCTGATAGACTTTCTGTGGCAGCAATTGTCGGTCCTTAGATACTGACATCATCAATTGTTGGTCCTTAGATACTGACATCATCAATTGTTGATCCTCAGATACTGGCACGACCCTGGTGTTCAGGGAGAAAATACACTGGAGTGCTTGGACTCAGGTTATGTGATGGATTCGACTCTGACAAGCCTTTAGAGCCTGTCTGTTCCTGGAGGGAGCCCACTGCCCTGCTAAATGGAAAATCTTTTTGACTTAAAACTTTCATAGCTACACCAGAATAAAATGGGAGCATTTTACATGAGGATTGACTCTCATGGGCCACCATCCTCTAATCTTCCTCTTTTGCTTGGTTGGCAAAGATGATTGTCGGGCATCTCCTGCAGGCAGAGCATCCCTCTCTTGCATTTAGGGAGTTGCCGTTATCATCAGTGGTAAGGAGCCCTGGCAGAGCCGTTGGTCTCACGACCGCTCACACTTCCTGCTGAGCAGATGACTGTCCTGTGCTGGGCCTTCTTGACACATTTACCCTTGTGCATGGGTTTGTTTGCCTGTGTCCCCTTGTAGGACTGTGTGTTAATCAGGTTCAGGCAATCTTACACTCACCCTCCAGAGCCCAACTCAGGGTTTGGCTGATGTTAGTGACTCAGACCAAATGCGGCCTCACAGTCTGCCACCTTCAGCATCAGGCTTGAGTTTAAGTTTTTAGATAACCTGTGACCAGGACTTGGCTGGGCCTACATTATTTGTAATCAATTTATTAAATGTTGCTATCAAACTAGGGACAGGTCAACCTGGTCAGAATTTTATAACAGAGTTCACATAGTCTACACGTATGTGAGCATGTTTATGTTTATGGCCGTGGTTTCCGTCACTGCTTTCATTGCTGTGACAAGGTATCTGGGGAAGCAGCGTTAGGAAGGCTCGTTTTGACTCACAGTTTGAAGGGACACAGTCCATTCTGTGTCATGGTATGATGGCAAGTGCGTGAGGCGGCTGGTCACATGGTGTCCGCAGTCAGGAAGCAGAGAGAGATGAATGCTGGTTCTCAGCTCACGTTCTCCTTATTTGTCCTAGGGACCTAGCCCATGAGCTGGTGCCCCCCACACTCAGGCTGAGTCTTCTCCTTTAAACCTTTCTGGGGACACCCCCATAGACACGGAGGTTTGTTTCTTTGGTGACTCAAATCCAGGCAAGTTGACAGTGAAGATCAACCATCACAAGCAGTAAAATGCTTTTTGTTTTTGATCTAGGAGTGGAGTGTACTGTAACTGCCTTCTGTGTTGCAAAACTTCTTACGACAAATAACCGGAAAACCAAAAATCATTATGCATAGAAACAGAAGGATTTAAAAAAACTATTAACTTTCCTAGGCTCAATCCAGAAAAAAAATCGTGTCTGTTTTGGCCAAAGACGACAAGAGTTGAGAAACCAAGAGAGGGGCTCTAAAGCCGATTTCTGAGGAGAAAAATAGCACCAGAGCCCAGTGGTTAAAAGTCCCTCCTCCTCTTGTAGGACCCGAGTTCAGTCTGCAGCATCCCACATGGTGGCTCAAAATTGTAACTTCTGTTCCGGTGCCCCTTTTGGGATCTGTGGAAACTGCATGCACACAGTGTTCCCATGCGTGTGTACACGCGCGCTCTCTCTCTTCCACCCACACACAATAAAAATAAATACATCGTTGAGAAAGGTCCATGAAGTCACAGTTGTATTAAATACTACACAGGAAGTGGACACCACTTGCCAGTTCATGAAATTTTCTTTTTCTCTTTGTAAATCAGATTGAAAAGGAGGAGCAGGTCAACCCCAAGAAAAAAGTGACCGAGAAGGGATTTCCCGTGAATGGACGGCCTCCGCCTGTGGACTTACTACTTCGCAAGCCATCTGCCCTCAGACAAACTATCTGATCTCAAGAATGAAGCAGGGTCAGATGCCTGCTGACGTGACAGCTACAGATGCCCTCAGTCCTCACGGTGTGGGAGCCTCAGGGCAGCCTGCCTGGAGGTGAGGGGGGCCCTTTGTACCATAGTCACTGAGACCTGAGAGGACCCTTGGGCTCAGGAGAGGGGTCTTTTGGTCTCATCTGCAGCCCTTTGCTCTCTGGCAGGTGCGCGATGCCTCCAGGGTCATTGGCAAAGGTCTGCAGAGCTAATCCACACATATTCCTCCATCTCTTTATTCCGCTGTATCCCTGTATCCTTCAACCTTTCCCTTCCTAACTCTCTGTCCAGCTCCTCCTGTTCTATGCCATGTGCTTTCTGTTGAACGACCTTACTCAGAGCCAGAGCCAGAGTGGACACTCAGGGCCAGAGCCAGAGTGGACGCTCAGGGCCAGAGCCAGAGTGGACGCTCAGGGCCAGAGCCAGAGTGGACGCTCAGGGCCAGAGCCAGAGTGGACGCTCGGGGCCAGAGCCAGAGTGGACGCTCAGGGCCAGAGCCAGAGTGGATGCTCGGGGCCAGAGCCAGAGTGGACGCTCGGGGCCGGAGCCAGAGTGCACGCTGGTGAAGGTCCGGGTGATTTTCAGATAAGGTACAAATTGTCATATGATCCTTAAGTGCTAAGATGTCTCTAGAGTCATGTTAAGTCAGATGTAGCTAACCTGTATCAGAAACAGAGGAAAGCAGCAACCTCTGCCTCCCTCTGCAGGCCTCTGTCTCCATCCTCACACAGGGCACGGTGAGCATCAACTCCTGCTCAGGTCTGGGTGAGAACAACTTCTTTAGAGCACTGCCTTTGGAATCATGTCACCTGTACAGGTAGCCGTCACCTGGGCTCTGTCACCTGTAGAGTTAGCACTCACCTGGATAGTTCTGTGTCACCTGCATGGCTCTGTCACCAGCACAGCTTCAATTGCTTTCAGATTAGAAAACTTAGAAAGGTCTTATGGCTTCAGCCTCTGCCCTTCCGTGAGGGACCCTGAGCCCAGGTAGATGTCTCTAGGCAATTGCACAGGTCTAGAAAGAGTGCTCGGAGTTTTGTTTTCCAATCCAAATCTCCAAACTCCTGGGGGGAGAGGAGGCCTGGCACCCCAGGCTTTTCCCTGGCTGGCCTTTCACTTCTAAGTCTGTGGTAAAAACAGATCAAGAAGAACGGGGATGGAACTTGGCCTTCTGCAAAGGAGAGTAAAGAGTGTGTTGGGGAGTAGAGAGCTAGAAATCCAAGACTTCTTCCCTGAGTTCAAGGTCGTTCCCGCATAAGGGGATCTGGGCCCAACTATATAGGGTGAGTAGGGTTGGGAGTTCATTTCCATCTCTTTGCTCTGGTCTGTCCCCAGGATCTGTAGCCTTAGATTTCTGGGAAAGAATGATCCTGAGTATGCACTCTTGTTCTGGACCCCAGAAACCCACCCCCACCCCACCCTACTTGCGTGTACCTCACGTCTACACTTGCTGTGAGGACGGAGACCGGGCCAGATGGAAGCGCCTCAGATTTGCCTTGGACTCTTTTGGACACGTGTGTATGTGTGCGTGTGTGCATGTGTGTGTGTTGGAATTAACTTTGGGGGACTATTGGCCAGTTTTCAGGCCCAGCAAGACCTCACAGTTTCTTCTTTCTGTTTTATCTTGTGTACACACGAACAAATGTGACCATCTATCCTCGGTGCCTGTCCTGGGGCTGCAAGCTTCCTGCTCAGACCCTGTCGTGCTCTGGCTCATGGCTCATGTGCAGGTGCCCTCAGCTCAAATATCATCTCAGAGATTCTCCCACGTCACCCGGCTCTGCCTCTCTAGGTTTTGTTTGCGTCTTCTGGAATGATCCTGTTCACTTACTTATTGTTGAGTTCTTGCATCAATGCCTTGCCTAATGTAAACCCCGTGTCTGCCAGAATTGATTTATGCCGTCTTCAGTTGTCTGGGACTAATACGGATTCAATAAATACTTGTTGACTGGAAGAATGTTTATTTGTTTTTAAAAATAGCCTTAAAGTAATGTTCGAAAGTATGAGTTCTTTTGAGGAATCAGAGGCATCTATTGTAGTCCATAAAGAATTGCTGGTGACCTTGGCAGGGCCCCCTCTGTGTGAAGGAATTGGGAAAGAGGAGCAGGAATTCATGAGTGTAAATGCAGCACCCTCAGCTTGGCCTTGAAGGACGTCGAGGGCAGACAGGGCTTGGGTCGGTAACTCGGGAGCTGTTAGACCACACTGAAATGCTCTTGAGGGGCCGTGATGGCACACACTTTTAATCCAGCACTCGGGAGGCAGAGGCCAGCCTGGTCTACAAGAGCGAGTTCCAGAACAGCTAGGGCTACACAGAGAACCCCTATCTCAAAAAACCATAACCCTTCCTGCCCCCCCCCCCCCCAATGCTCCGGGGAAGGAGGCTGTAGTGTGTGTGATGAAGAGGCACAGGGCCATTACCTGATGGAGCTAAGAACCCAGGAGGGAGCTTGGGGACACCAGTGAGGGGGACCCCCATCAATCAAGGGGCCCTTTGATTGGAAAGGGGGAAAAAGAGAAGAGAACTGTAGATTACAGCTAGTTCTCGAGTTCAATGGTGGGGTGTGGGTGGCCCTTGTCTGAAGCATCAGTTTCCTGTGTGCCTTATGTAGGACCCAAGGCAGCCAGTTCACACTGGGGTGGTGGGGAGGTGGTGGCATTGGGGACAGGAAGAATGAAGGCAGAAGGGAGGACTATAGAGATGTCACTCCAATCACCTCTACAAAGCTTATCCTAATCTCTTCTCTCACTTTTGAATGAATTTGTATTTTCTCTTCCTCCCTCCCTCCCTCCCTCCTCCTCCTCCTCTTCCTCCTCCTCCTCCTTCTTCTTCCTCTCTCTCTCTCTCTCTCTCTCTCTCTTTCTTTGAGACAGGGTTTCTCTGTATAGTTTTGGAGCTTATCCTGGAATTTGCTCTATAGACCAGGCTGGTCTTGAACTGGAATTAAAGATGTATTCCACTACCGCCCAGCCCAGGGCAGTAATCATATATGACTAAAAACAAAATCAGACTTGTTTGTATGATTTTATTCATAAATATATAATTTAGTTGTCTCAAGATGTCAGCCCCTGCTGGGCGGTGGTGGCACAAGCCTTTAATCCCAGCACTCGGGAGGCAGAGGCAGGCGGATCTCTGTGAGTTCGAGACCAGCCTGGTCTACAAGAGCTAGTTCCAGGACAGGAACTAAAAGCTACGGAGAAACCCTGTCTCGAAAAAAAAAAAAAAGAAGAAAAAAAAGATGTCAGCACCTTATTTAAAGTCTTGTAGGAGTGAAAGAATTTCTGTTTTTCACTCATAGTTTACAGGAGCCCATCTATCTACCTTGGAATCCAGAAACCTAAACACTGTTATACTATATCTAAAAGACAGAAACAGAAGCGTCGGCCCTCAAGTTCATAGCCAGTCTACTCATTACCATGTCGTGGTCAATGGGGCTCGTATTGGCCGATGAAACAATAATGTAAATGTGCCGATGATTGTCAACTTGACATGAAGAGTCTCAGTGAGGGATTGTCTAGATCAGGCTGAGTTATGAGCATGTCTGGGGGGGGGTATTCCTTGGCATGACAGTCTCAGATATGTGTTGTCTAGATCAGGTTGGGTTGTGAGGCTGTCGGAGGGGGCTGCCTTGACATGCAGTCTCAATGAGGGGTTGTCTAGATCAGGTTGGGCTGTGAGCATGTCTGAGGGGAGGCTGCCTTGATTTCATTAATTGATGAGGGAAGACACAGCCTGTAAGTGGCTAGCCCTACTCCTGGATTTGGGGCTCTGGATGCTATCAGAGGGGGTTGGAGAGATGGTTTAGTGGTTAAGAGCACTGCCTGCTATCCCAAAGATCCTGAGTTCAATTCCCAGCAACGATATGGTGGCTCACAACCATCTGTAATGAGATCTGGTGCTCTGTTGAGGAAGAGACCCGGTCAGTCGTCCTCATCAACTTAGACCATGAACTTGTCCAATATGGACAAGATCAACAGAACCGCCATATATGGGCTGCCCATGCATGCTAATAAAATAATGCTACCAGAGTGGAGAAAGCTGGCTGAGAAGAAATATGCCTGAGTTCATTTCTCTCTGCTCCTCCTGACTTGGCATTTGGTGTGACCAGCTGTCTCCAGCTCCTGCAGTGATGGACTATCTCCTGGAATTGTGAGCAAAATAAACCTTTTCTCCCCCAAAGTTTCCTTCCTTCTTTCCTTCCTTCCTTCCTTCCTTCCTTCTTTCCTTCCTCTTTAAATCAAGACACGCTATCACATTAGCAGAAATGAAACCGGGATACAGCAGGACTTTGTACGAGGCTTTTAACCCCTCACTTTCTTAACTGGTAGAAGGAAATTGTGATAATTGTCTTGCCTTCCCACAGTGCTGTTGTGTAGACCAAGAAAGAGCTTAGAGTCTAACGGTGTAGCATATCCAAATGCTGACTGACTTTCCAAGGGACATCATGGAGGTTGTGATGTTGTGTCATGGGGAAGTGGGGATGACTTTGGAGTTAGCTGGTTCAGGTTTTCCCTAAATCTGACACTAAGCAGTGAGCTCATCCCATCAGCTCAGCCTGTGACCTTGGCACTAAGCAGTGAGGTCATCCCATCAGCTCAGCCTGTGGCCTTGGCACTAAGCAGTGAGGTCATCCCATCAGCTCAGCCTGTGGCCTTGGCACTAACCAATGATGTCATTCCATCAGCTCAGCCTGTGGCCTTGGCACTAAGCAGTGAGGTCATCCCATCAGCTCAGCCTGTGTCCTTGGCACTAACCATCAGCTCAGCCTGTGTCCTTGGCACTAACCAATGACGTCATCCCATCAGCTCAGCTTGTGGCCTTGGCACTAAGCAGTGATGTCATCCCATCAGCTCAGCCTGTGGCCTTGGCACTAAGCAGTGAGGTCATCCCATCAGCTCAGCCTGTGGCCTTTGAGTCATTTACCCGTTCAGTGAAGAACCCAGATTACAGGACCTTCCAGAAACTGCCCAGCCTGTCATTATCATGGACCGTGTTGTTTCTTCATCCCAATAGAGCATACATATGCAAGACAAGGCATGGGGGTCTGTGCGGTTCTGTGCTTAGGGAGGGAATGCGCACAGAGAAACTTGAGTTACTCTGTTTCCTGGGTGGGAAAGTTGCTGGCAAGTAGATCTATCAAATTCATTCTCTGGGGAGCAATGCTTTGGTCTGTTGTGCTTTTGTGGCTGCCTCTACCAAGTCTACAGCTACAGTCAGTAAACCAAAACAGTGTTTCTAATCTAGCTGGAACTTGTATTTAGTGTGTGTTTGTGCGTGCATGTGTGTGTGCGTGTTGTTTGCATGCACACGTGTGCATGTGTATGCGAAGGTCAGGTGACAAATTTTAGGAGTCAGTTTTCTCATTCTATCACAGAGGACCCAAGATCAAACTCTGCTTGACAGACTTGGTAGCAAGCACCTTTACCCTCTGAGCCATCTTGCCAGCTGTCTATAACCCCTTATGTTATACTATTTTCTCTCATTTTCTCTGAGTCTTATTTGGCATATCTTCTTTTGTTTAAATCTCAGAAATGTTCTTCTCAGGAAGCTCAGATATAAGAATCAAAAACAAACAAACTACATCTCCAAGGCTTGGTGGGAGCCGGTTGAGCTGGTTTCTGGAATATGGGTGTCCACAGGTCTTGCCCCTCATACTGACCTCCCTACCCTTGGGATCGATTGAATGACCAAAGGCCACAGGGTTCAGGGGTTCACCTTCTTCCTTCATAGTCATTCCCATCCCTTTCATGAGAGTGGGGTACCACTTCTGAAGAATGCAGGCAGCCCATGGGAAATGCAGAGGTGCAGCCACCAGGAGAAAACTGGGGGCTCAACGCCCCCATTTAGAACTCTATTGACAGTTTCTCTCTCCCCTCAGCACTTTGACCATACCACCCACCGCCTCCCTCTATAACTGCCGATGAGAGATCTGCCGTCAATCTTCTCGACTCATGGTGAGACTCTGCTTTTCCTTTGTTTATTTTAAAATGATTTTCCTCTTCTCCCCTGCTGTTCTGAACATACGATGACTGCGATGTCACTAAGTATGGATTTATGTCTGCTTATTCTGCCCAGAACTCAGGTACCTCTAGCTGAAGATTCGTGTGTCTTCAGGGATGTGCAAAACAAGCTCGTGTTGCACAGCTATCCAAATGGCAAATAGAAAAGAGAAACTGTCCAGCGTTGGCATTAATGTGAAGAAAGTCCCAGAAGCTACTGATGGAATTTATACGTTGTCATAACACATGCCATAATACCACTGTACTCCAGGACACTAGCAAGGCAGGGTATCTTAAAACCTCTAACCAAGTAACTATAATTTTAGGCATCCATCCTGGAGAAAACTTACACACTTTTAGAGAAGAGAGAAATGCACAAATTTGTTTAAAAGATCAAGGTTTGTAGTTAAGAGAGGAACATAGAATGTAACTAACCAAAACGTCTACCCACAGGGGAATGAGAGAATCAGTTTTGGGATATCTGCAAATAATGTCCTAACCAGCAGTTAAAAGTCAATCCGTCAGATAGACCCTGTCAAGCAGGAAAATCCAGAAACCACAGCCAGGACTATGCAAAGCAAGCATCAGGCAGTAAGCCCAGTATGACATCCTATGCATAAATATTGACAGCCCACAGTTTTATATTGGTTATTGCTCAACAAGGAGAAGTCACAAGACCTCATACTTTTTATATAATGCCACAGGATTTAAAAATGACAGTAAAATACAAAGATATTAAAAACAAATCCTCTCAGAAATAAAAGTATAAGAAATAATTCCTGGCTTGAAGAAATAACCCAGCCTAAAAGTTACACAGGAATGGTTTAACACCACCTGCTGGACATACATTTGTTTGGAGAGAGTAAATGGGAAATTTGTCAGCAGCTGGGATGCTTCCATGGTTGGTTATATAAATCTTAAACACCAAAAACATTTGTTTTGAATCTGTTTTGGGTCTGGGCTAGAGTCCTTGACTTGTGATGGCTCCTGACATGGGAGAAAAGGGAGTCAATTGGAACACAGCTCTCAAATTTCCCTTTCGGAACAGGTAGATAGGAAGGGAAAATAGGATGTTGGTGAATGTGGAGGGATGTAAAACGGACAGTGTTATGGTGGAGGGAAACGTGATGTAGGGACTAGAAGAGCATCAGGAATGACCTTGTGCTGGGAGCTGGTTGGCCAAGCACAGGCAGATGCCTGAAGACCCCACAGGCCGCCACTGCATCCTCACAGCCAGAGCTGACAAGGTTCAGACTCAAGTGCAAGGAGGGGGGCATGTGTTCAAGGTGTGGATCTGGAGTGGCAGGAAGACAGCAAGGAGGAAGGAAGAGATGGCTGAGGATGCTGTGCCCCAGCAAGAAGAAGCAGGCCAAATACTGTCCCAGGGTACCCAAAGGGTTCCAGCGTCCTAACAGGAGGGCACTGTGGGCCCGTGGGAGCTCCAATGTGGCCCCGAGGACACTCCAGTGTAACCCCGTGGGAGCTCCAATGTGACCCTGTGGAAGCTCCAATGTGGCCCCAAGGACGCTCCAGTGTAACCCCGTGGAAGCCCCAATGAGAAGGCAAGGAATTTAACTGCGTAACAACTCATGCAGAACCTCAGGTGCTAAATGAACATCTAAGGTGATAACATCTCTGAGGAACAGGTTCTAACGGTGAGCTGCCCATGGCCATCACCTTCCTGAGTAACTGGGCTGGGAAGAACAGGAATGGGATAGGAGCACACAGTAGCCCTGTGGTGAGCCTTGCCCCAACCCGTTCAGGAAACCATCTTGATTTTAGCAAAGCGAGACTCCATCCCCAGGGCTCGCTGTTTCACCCTCCCCTCCACGCCACCCCCAAGACCTGGAGTGTGTGTTAACCCATGCCCAGCACTGGATATTAGCCTGTTAATGTGAATAACCAGAAACTGCTAAATTTTGTCTGCTTTCTGTAGAAATAAAATCTGGGGATGGATCAAACCTACCTGGAGATTGCTTGAAGCTGGTGGGGGTCGACTGAGCGTCTTGTGCCTTGGGCATCAAAACTGAAACACAGTGTGATAGTTATGTAATGTTTTTCTGTGTAACATTGATTCTGAGGAACACTTCCCATTAAATACTAGCGACATTATATAAAACTCCAAAAGCTGCTCTTCATCAGTTTCTTGAGTAGGCATCCATAGCCACAAAGGCTGACACATGGTAGCTTATCCCGGATGCTCATGAATCTTACGTTCTGGGAGAAACTGAGGCATGTGCCTAGAGCTGTTGGGGTCTCCAGGTAGGAAGCCCTGGGTTATAGCGTTTGCTAATTCCCATAATGTAAATATTCCCATGACACGGTTTCACAGTGTGAACGGGAAGAGGTGACTTGGCCGGCTCTCACTTAGAGGTTACTGCTCTCCAGTGCCCCACACTTTACTATCATTTAACTGTGAACCAGCACAGGCTACTGACCTGTGGACAGCTAGGAAAGCGGAATATAGTACACAGAGTCATAGGCTGGAGAGATGGCTCAGTGGTTAGAGCACTGGCTGCCCTTCCAGAGGACCTGGGTTCAGTTCCCAGCACTCACACGGTGGCTCACAATCATGCAGAAGTCCAGGTCCTGGGTGTCTGACATCCCTTTCTGGCCTCCACGGACACTCTACAGACAGGGTGTACATACACGTGTAGACAAAACACTTGTACACATAAAATAAATTATTTCATACATAATGTCACTACCAAAAAAAGCTACTTGGGATATATAAGATAAATTCACTTTTTTGAGCTTCAGTGGAGAAATTCGACACAGGTTAAAGAGTTGTTATTATTGATAGGGTCTCACTATGGAGCCCTGGCTGGCCCAGGGCTCCCTGTATAGACCAGGTTGGCCTCCAGCTCACAGATACCTGCCTGACTCAGCACAGGATTTTCCTTTTAAACTTGGAGAATGATATTTGTTTCTGGTTTATAGTTTACTATTGTTATTCTTTTGTTTTATTCTTTTTTTTTTTGTTTTTTTTTGTTTTTTTTTTTTTGTTTTTCGAGACAGGGTTTCTCTGTGGTTTTTAGAGCCTGTCCTGGAACTAGCTCTGTAAACCAGGCTGGTCTCGAACTCACAGAGATCCGCCTGCCTCTGCCTCCCGAGTGCTGGGATTAAAGGCGTGCGCCACCACCGCCCGGCTTTGTTTTATTCTTTATTTTTTGCCTCTATGGCTTTTTAAGTTAAGCACACAGAGTAATGAGATGGTTTCACGCATGTGTGAGACACAGCACGTGACTTACACTCTGTTCTTATTTGCCCCCTGCCCTCCTGCTCCTTTCCTCGCCACCTCACGCCTGTTTCCTTCCACATGGCCAACAGTCCCTCCTTCTGCTCTCCTACAGTGGTCACCTATGGTTCCACCTTTACTGTCATCGTTATTAGTCAAGAAGCCAGCCCTCCATCATGCTCAAGGTTCTGAGCTCTTGAAGTTATTAAATACTGTGTGTGTGTGTGTGTGTGTGTGTGTGTGAGTGTTTCAGTGTGAACATGAACATATATACGTGTGTGTGTGTGTGTGGATGTGTGTGAGTGTTGCAGTGTGAACATGAATATGTATGAGTGTGTCTGGGCTCGTGTGTGTGTGTGTGTGTGTGTGTGTGTGCGTGCGCACACGCAGCAGTAAGGGGACAACTTGCAGGAGTTGCTTCTCTCCTTCCCTATGAGTCCTGGGGATGGAGCTCAGGTTATTTGGCTTGGCAGCTGGTACTTTACCCCCTGAACCATCTCTTCAGTCCTGAGCTCTTGGCTTTTGGAGAGATTGCCTAAGAATCTGAGCTTTTTTCCTTTCTGGTATTGGTGTTAAAGGGACAGAGACCTAAAGATTGGTAGAACCTGGGTGTGGTGGAGCTGGTTTCAGGATGGCTGAGCACAGATGTTATGAGCTGTGGGTGGGATGGGGCAGCTGGCAACACTGAAATGTGCACCTGTGCTTTGGAAGGATGACAGACAGCGTTTTGTGGTCCTTAACAATTGAGAAAATGAGAAAAAAAAGTTGCTCAGAAGTTGAAAAATTAGGTTAATAAATTTCTTTACTAAAGTTGAGGCAAAGGGACTGAAACAGATGAAGTGGAATGCCCAGTAGGATCCAGGAACCTTTTATTTTTCCTTTTGAGCCAAGATGTGATAAATAGTCTAGGTTGGCCTTGAACTCATGACCCTTCTTGCCTCATCCTCCTGAGCTCTGGGATGACAGACACACACTTCTAACTCAGACCCATGGATGTGTTTTTAGAGGGTTTATCTACTCCATCCCTACAATATTGTGTATTTTTGCACAATTCTATTTGGAATATGGGCCACCGATGTTTGCTGACTCCACACCTCTGGATTCTAAAGTGAGTCTCTCTGTGAGGAACAGCTGAGTCCTTATCACAGGGCAGGGGAGAGAATCAGAATCAACCTGTGATCCCAGATGCTGGAAGAAGGCAAGGTTGGTTAGGGTACCAGAGAATGGAAAGTCTGTGATGTGGGAAAAGTCAGCACAATGGGGGTTTCCCCCAAAGCACACGTGGTCCTCAAACCATCGCTGGAAAGTCTGCGGAGTCATGAGCCCACGAGGAGCGGTGTGCTCTGAAGAGTTTTTAATACTCAACTGTTTACAAATGCAGTCGTATTATTCTGATAAAGTAACGTCGTCAGAAGGTGGCAGGCATCTTAGGACCAACTTGATCCCAGAGATGGCTATGAGATGTGGCTTGTTTGCTGGAAAGGAAGAAGGGTGTGATGGAGAGAACTGGGATTCTGCAGCCATCCTGGAGATGTTCTGTAGGAGCAGGGTGTATTCTCGCCTTTCCCGAGTGTCTCCCGCTAGGAACCAGGGAGTTTTATAAATGGCTAGGATTTCCTTGTATAGTCTGGGATAGATGCCCACAGTGCCTAAGACCCCAGCCCGTGGTTACAGCGCAGAGGGACTGAATACCTACTTCTAGGAGGCACAGCCGGTCATGGCTTCATGTGACTTGGGGATCCTAAGATGGATGATGGTAACTGAGGATGGTGGCCACAAGCAAACACCTGGAGTGAGGATGAGGCTTCCTGCAGCTGAGGGCGTCTCCCTTGGGACAACAGGATCAGTGAAGTGTGATGTGCACCCAAAGGGAGGGAGGGCTCTAAATAGAGAACACTTGTGCATGGGCTTGTTATTATTTATGTTTTCTGAGACAGGGTTTCTCTGTAGCTTTGGAGCCTATCCTGGAACTAGCTCTTGTAGACTAGGCTGGCCCTGAACTCACAGAGATCTGCCTGCCCCTGCCTCCTGAGTGCTGGGATTAAAGTTGTGCGCCATCACGGCCCAGCTGTGCATGAGCTCTTAAAGGTATTTTACTTGCTGGAACCAACTGCTCTCTTCCCCCATAGGACATCATGTAGTGTTTAATTAAAACCAAGAACGCTTCTGTAGAATAAACTGAGTATTTCCCATGCTCAGCCCAGCTACAGAACCCCTCAGCACAGAGAGCACTGACGCCATTTCCCCCTTCCACTGACTTGTCTCCGAGGTTTATTGGTACACCCAATTATTATTTCATTATAGAACATGTTGTCTTATTTAGTCATGATGCAATTCTTTTCAATTTGTTTTTAAAGATTATTTTATGTGTATGAGAGATTGCCTACATAGATGTCTGCATCACTTGTGTGCACTGCCCATGGATGCCAGAAGAGGGCGTCAGATGCCCTACAAGCAGACTTACAGACAGTTGTGAGCTACCATGTGGGTGCTGGGGATCACACCCACGAGCCCTGGAAGGGCAGCCAGTGCTCTTAACCACTGAGCCATCTCTCCAGTCCCAAGTCTTGAAGTCTTCTATGGAAGGCAGCAGGAGAGCGAGAAGGCAAGTGATACAATCAGCAACAATAGCCACAGAACAGGCATGTAAACCTGCGCTGTGTCTTTGCCACACAGGTAGAAGGAGCAGTCAGTTGTTCTTTTTAAGAAAGAATACACATTTGAGCGAGATGTACATTACTTACAGGTTGAAAGTTTCACCTTGGATATTGTTCACTGCTGCATGAATGTTCCTTTGGGAGTGAGGTGACATCCTTCTTGTGGTTAGACACCCTGCAGGTGTCTGTATCAGGGATTAATTGGCATGCATGCTTGCCGGAACTTGAGCCTGTATGGCTTTTCCTGGAGACAGAGAAAAGGAAACCCAGGGCATTGACAAACATACCAGATAATTGGAAATTAAATGCAGCGTCTTTGATTTACCTTTAATTGTTATTCGTCACCAATGCATGTATTCTGTGCTGTCTTCAGACATGAATAAAGATTTTTGCCTGGAGGTTCATGAATAAACCTGGT